TGGGTTCACTGAGTTACGCAAGCCCCTTCGCCACGACAAGGCAGTGATCCATGAAGGGGTCAGGGAGAGTACAATAAGCAAAAATCATTAGTCAGAATAAAACAATTTAACATTGAAGAATCATTTTGAATTGAAGGTAATTTTCCTTTCTGGTAGATACGGTAGATAAACAGTCCAATTTTCACTTGGTACCAAAAGGGAGAAGGTATCCATAACTGGTGGTCCACTACTGAAAAGGCCCTTCTTTGCATCTCCACAAAGTATGATGCTAGAGGAGATGCTCCCCCACAACCACAAAGAACAAGCTGCCTCAAGTGTTGATGTTCCAAAACAATTTGACATTAGAATACATTAGTACTATGAATATGCACCTAAAATGTATTCACAGCTTATACTGTAGATACCTTACTTGAGGGCAGAGGCTACACTTTTAATTTGCTGGCCTTGGAGGGTTCAAGGGATAGTGATATGCTGATGTCACCTGAGCAGGTAAGGCTGACTCAGGGGACTTTAAGCTTAAGGCACACATTTCACCTTAAAACTCCCACAATTTCACAAAGAAGGGCCTACAGTTTGGTTGCAGCCATTCCAGGGCCACTTGTGGTTATTCTGTATTGCTGCTTTAAAACCTACAAAATGTTTTCTAATTTATGTTCCCCAAAGCAGTTCTTACCTGCTGCGTACTCCAAGTCAGTCCTAAAACAACTGAAATGACTGATATAGGGAAGTACCAGTACATTGATCAGTGTGCATAGATTTCCCCATCCTGGAAAGTTGTGGGGTGTGCCACTCATTGGCCTAAAGCATATTTGTTCACTGAAGCTCCATGAGCCTTTGCTAAGAAAGAGGAACTTGAAAAACTCCAAAGGAATGTATCTGCTACTCTCAGACAGGACAAAAATTGAACCCAGTTTCAAGACCTGAAAGCCACCAAGCAACAGAGCCTTCATCTTGTGGGGATTCAGTTGAACTTAACAGCCCTCAGCTAGACTCACAGAACAAGAGAGTTGGAAGGGGCCTCGAAGGTCTCCTCGTCCAACCCCCTGTCCAGGGCAGGAATCCTCAGACCACCCCAGCAAAGCGCTGTTCAACTTTGGCTTGAAAACCTCTTGTGTTGGCACCCCCATAGCTTCAGGAGGCAGGCTGTTCTATTGCTTAATAACTCTCGCATTTTGTGTTTGGATCTCCCTTTGAAAAGTTTCCACTTGTTGGTTCTTGACTTACCCTCAAGAGCTGCAGCGGATAAGCCACACTCTTTCCCCTGCGATAGTCCTAGTTTATTATACCTTCCAGGCCCCACCAAACTTGACTGAGATGACAAGGAGCAATATAGTTCATCCTTCATCGTGTTGTTTCCATGCACAGAGGGATGTGGTACTGTATACTTTTATTGAGTGTTGAGCCTTCTCACAGGTCAGAAACATCCAAGTGAAAAACATACACAATAAGTGGCCCTATGGCACCCTCTGAAGTCTCCTGTGATGTGCACTTAGAGGCAAGATTGTAGAATAGGGCACCTTAAGGCTTGCTTTTACTCTCCCCCTCCCCTCCCCTCCCCTCCCTATGTGCAGATGGAGATACTACGAGCACGTACTATGCAGTGGCAGTGGTGAAGCGAGCAACTTCTGATGTCTTCACCATCCACGATCTACAGCATAAAAGGTCCTGCCACACAGGCTATGGGCAGATGGCTGGCTGGAACATACCTATTGGCCTCCTGTTGCAAAAGGGACTCATTCAGCCCCAGGAATGCAACATTCTCAAAGGTAAAGGGGTAGGGGTGATTGGTCACCAACTGAAAACGTGGGGGGGAGGGGGCGGCTGGAGGCCATCACTGATAACCTAAGCAGAGGCTTACAAGAACTCAAAAAAGCACTTAATGAGACAGTCCTGGCAAAATGATGCCTGGCAGATCGTGAAGAATCAGGAACAACTGAATGACTGGTCAAGGAGTCCTATCAAAAGCACAATTGCTAACAATCCCAGTGAGGAGAAAAATTGGAGGACAGCAAAAGATGCCAGTGTGACCATGCAAAATAAGCCTAGTGAAGATCTACAAATGACTCACGAAGGAAGGCTACAGAGAGGTAGCCCTGAACTGTATAGCTGATGTCAAAAAAGCAAAACGAGCTGAAATTACCAGGAATCCCAAGAAAAACAACAGCAACAGCAACAAAAGCTTTTGTCGATAGGTTTAAAATAAAAGGGAAAAAGTCAGTATATCGGCTTTTCAGTGAAGGAGACTGAACTGTAGCTGACCATGAACCATCTATTGAACTCGAAATAATTCACTACTTTCAGATCAGCCTGCCCAGCACAGACGCAGAATATTAGCAAGCAACAAAGAAAAGGCAGAGTTACTCCTGTTTTGGTTCAGGCTTCTTCAGCAACAGAAAGCCCAATCCGCCAGGAAATGTTGAAGGGCAGCATGAAGGGAGCTTGAGACGGATAGAAATGAGGTCAGGAATGCCTCTTTGCTCTGAATGAGTTTAGAACCCCAGGATCAGCTGAATTACACCCCAGAGTAGTAAAGGAACTAGCTGGCGGTATGGGTGGATCTCTGAGAAACCTTGTGCCAGATGACTGGAGAAGAGCGTATGTCCTCCCCACATTCAAAAAGGAGAAAAGGCAATCCAACTGTCTCTTCTCAAGGCTAAACACAGGAATTTATTTCTAGCTCTCTGACCATCTCCACTGCCTTTCTCTGAATCCTTCTGAAAGTGTGGGGCCTAGAACTGGACACAATACTAGAGGAGGGGTCTTATCAATGCAGAATAGAATTAAGCAATAACTTTCTATGACTTAACAAATTGTGCTTCTATTGATACAGCCTAAAACTACACTGTTTTAGCAGCCACATCACACTACTTGCTTCTTCTTAGTTTCTAGGCAACTACTCATTCTAAGGTTTTTCCCCCCCCACAAATACCCTTACCAAGGCAGGAATGCTAAGCATTATACTCTTATCTTTGAGAAACTCCACGTGGTGTTTGTGGACTCATCTCCACCTTCCGCAGTTGCTTAATTTAAGAAAGGGGGAGCAACTGAAGCTTCCGCTGCAGGAGGCTGCCAGACGAATGAAGCGATCCAACCTTTCTGGTCTGACTTGGACTACAGAGCTCCAGTCAGGGCAAGATGGAGACAATCCTCTGAGTTCTTTCCAGTGTCACCCTCAGCTAAGGGACCCTCCCTGGCTCTGTTCTTCTTGTTCCAGCGGTGAGTGGCTTTTTCTCTGCCAGCTGCGTTCCCACAGCCAAGAATGAGGGCTACCCTGCCAACCTTTGTGAGCTCTGCATTGGTGACAGCAAGGGGAATTTCCGGTGCAATGCCAGCAGCCAGGAAACTTACTATGGGTACACGGGAGCCTTCAGGTAATGGGACCATTCCAGGCAGCTTCGCTCCCAATTTTAGGAAGGAGCAAGCTGCACGCCTTGTCCTCTGGACCAAGTGATTCGTTTTTGCCTACTCTGAGTGGCAGTTCTGCACGGTTACTACTAAAAAGGAGAATCGCTGAGTTTTATCTACATTTAGGTGCTAAAAACATGGAAAAGGATAGATGTTAGCTATTAAAAAATAGGCAGGAGACAAATGTTCTCAACATCAGCAGTTTGTTTAGTGCTTGCTTTTTCAACTGTGGGCGTGATGCCCCTCGTACTTTTGCTGACTACCACACGTGCACACGCACACACACACTCCACCCCCTCTCTCATATGCAGCTTCACCAGGCACAACGGCTGGGAGGGAGGAAATAGCCAGTTTCCATCTTCCCTGGAATAACCTGAAGCAGGGAGGGAGGGGGAGCAACACACCGTTGCCATTTGGGGGCAGAAGCCAAATGACACAGGGCGGATTCATGAGAGGAGGAGGAGGAGGAGGAGGAAAGCCACGTAGCTTCCCCTTTCTTCCAGAACACCTACGAGGAAGGGTCAAAATACCTGGAGACATTCCACCCTGCCTCTGAGGAGCGTGGCACATGGGTTGATCTGAGGGTTCTTAGGGGCCCCCTTTTGCTCTGTAAGGCACCTATTTTGGGGAGGCGAGTCTACCGACATGCTTGCCTCGCTACAGCAGAGTGGCTAATCTGATTACTAATCTCCTTGCAGATGCTTAGCAGAGGGTCATGGTGACGTGGCCTTTGTCAAGCACAGTTCGGTCTTTGAAAACACAGATGGTAGGTGGGTTCTTTCCTCATATTGGTGGGTTGAACGTTGTCACTTCTGAAATGCTTCAGCCTCTCCTTCATTCTTTCAGGTCACAATACTGATGCCTGGGCCTCAACGCTTCAGTCTGGCGATTTCCAGCTCTTGTGTCCGAATGGTGCCCGTGCCGAAGTTGCCCAGTTTGCCAGGTGTCATTGGGGCCAAGTGCCTCCTCGTGCCATCATGGTCCACCCAGACACGAATGCACTGGTTGTGTATGGGCTTCTGGATAAGGCTCAGGTAGGCATAATCTGAAGATTAAGTGGAAGAAATCCTACTGCCTTTGAACTCAGTTATATTCATTTGCATGACTGGGTGACTTGCTTTTCTTCATTACTTTTTGGACGGGTTTCAGTCTGGTTTGGTCAGCCTGCCATCAGAGACTAGGCTGGGAATACAAGAAAGTACTTTACTGCTAGCTTTTGATTATTGTTTTTCTGCTCTAGTTTATTTGACCCAGAAATAGATGACATACTGTAGGAAATAAAAACTAAATCGTCTGGATTTGTACAATATGCAAACAAAACAAGGAAACCAAAATTGAAACAACCAAGCTTTGATTGTTGTGTGAATGCAGCCACTAGAACTTTACCAGACTAGTTAACTGTGTTGTGTAAGCCCAGAAACAACTATATGACATGGTTCCATAATAGGCAAACTGAATTTTAGCTGCAGCAATATAATTTTCAAATGATGAGATGGAATAGTTCCACTCTACCATCTACATGCTTTCTGAAGCATTTGACACCCACATGTGGTACCAATAGAGGCGAATATGTGTAGCTCGGGGTTGAACTGTGGAGTCCTTGGGGTTCTCTGGGCTTGGCTGTTTTCTTGCAAACATTTTGTTAACCCAGCTAGGTAACATCTTCAGTGCTAGAATGGGATGGGGTTTGCTCTCTGTTTATATACTGTGGCTGCCCTGCCAGTGTTGGTGTGTGTGTGTGTGTGTGTGTTGTTTTGTTCCTCTGGTAGTTCCTTGATTAGGGTATTGTTCACTGCTACATCTTCAGTGCTAGAATGGGATGGGGTTTGCTCTGTTTGTATATACGGTGGCGGCCCTGCCAGTGTTGGTGTGTGTGTGTGTGTGTTGTTTTGTTCCTCTGGTAGTTCCTTGATTAGGGTATTGTTCACTGCTTGATTGCAAGAAAATAACCAAGCTCAGAGAACCCCATGGACTCCACAGTTCCACTCTATTCTGCACTGGGCGATTCCACCTAAGCGCTTTATCCAGATCTGAGCCCAAGATGCAGAAAAAATTGGAACGCTACAAGGAAAGCAAAAGAAATTTCAGGGGACTTGAATTAAGTCCTACAAGGAGAGATCAACGGAAGCAGATGTTTAACTCTGAGAAGACTAAGAGAGGAAGTCAAACCTTATTCTTTGTCACTTCATGTGGGGCTCCACTGGAGTGTTGTGATTATGGGGCTGGAAGACCCAGGTTCAAGTGTGCCCTGGGACTGGCCTGTCTCTCTTGCAGCTCACCCACCTTTCAAGGTTGCCATTGTAGGAATAAAGGAAGATCCTTATGTAAGTTGCCTTGAGCCCCTGGAGGAAAGGCAAGATATAAACCTAAGAAACAGAATAATATACAAACAATAAGAGTGCAGGATTCAGAACAATGGACTTAAGCCACAGTTGACTTATTCTGATGGAAAGTTAGGAAAAAGTCTTAAAAGTGAGCAAAAGAGCAATCCCCCCCTCCCGCACAATATGTAAAGCATGTTTCTTGAACCAAACACTGTAACATAGATAACACTTCTTGGACAAGGGCTGCAATAAAGGATTCTGCACTGTTGATGCACACAGCATTTAAATGAGGACATGAAAGATGCAGTTTCTATGTCCCTTATTCCAGAAAGCAAGCCCCACCACTGAGAAAGCCTGTCTGCAAGCTCCAGGGGCAGGGGGCTACACTAGAAGGTAATCACAACACAGCATGGGAGGAACTTGTTAGCGGACATACATGCCGCCTCACTGTTTACATTCTCTCACCTCCATAGGCTAGTCTTATCCAAGGTTGTGGGTTTATCATGTCTAAGTGGCCATCTTGTTAATGGAGATTTCTTCCCCCACACATTGTGGGAAGATTGCAGCAGCAGACAGACAAAAATCATGGGGTTTATTTGTACGGACATAGCATGTTATGTGGATACTGTGTTTTGTGTGCCCAGCGTAGGATTTGGCATGTTTGGAACCTCACACTTCCTGATGGCTGAAGCTATGTGGGATATGCAGCACAACAACGCTTGTGCGCTGGGCAAGGCCCAGGCTGCCTCCTGTACCCCTAAGGAGCAGAAGCAGCCTGCCCAAAAGGGTCCCCTGCAGCAGCTCCTGGCAGAGCATGTCTTGGGCAGAATGCTTTGAAAAGGATCCCAAGTTGTGTGTCAGGAAAACTCTTGCTTAACTTTCAGGATTTCTTTGGCGATGACAACAACGGGAATGGATTTAAAATGTTCAGCTCGGCAGACTTCCAAAAGCAGGACTTAATCTTCAAGGATTCCACTGTTGCAATTGTGCCAGTGAGGGAGAGAAGAACATTCAAGTCCTGGCTGGGGCAACCATTCCTGGACTCTTTGGAAGGTCTGGAATCCTCCCAATGCTCGAGAGCTGGTAAGGCCATCTTGCCATTGGAGTCCCCCCCCCCCAACTTCCTGTTAATAAGGAAAAGGCATTTCTTTAAATAACAACTGCTGGGAAGAACCTTAACTTTCATGGGTTGGTAATGCAGAGGACATCTATTTCTTCTCTTCCATCCCATTTATGGAAAGCCAATCTGGAGATGAAAAATGACCCACGAGCCTCTCTGAATGATTCAAACCAGTCTCTTATTTCTTTCACCTTTTAAGGATTGAAGGTGTGTGGGGTGTGTGTGTATGTATGTAGTAAATAGTAGAGCTTATGTTTCACATGCAAACAGTATTCGATTCTATTCCTAGTGTCTGCAGCTGGCAGGTGCAGCAGAAACAACCACTTTCCATGTGGGAGGCCCACTTACAGGCACTGCCAAATCGGAACGCACCACGTTGGGGTGGACTTCAGGCTGACTCCGTATGTTCAGTTTAGATTGCTAATACTGATTGTATGTCTTTATTTTTGTTACACTCCAGCAACCAAGTCTGTGAATGTTATTCTCCTACTGACAATTCTGACTCTCGCAACAATTTCCTCTTCATGATCCACAACTCAGATGAAACAATATACAATGCAATCGCAAGATGCAATACTTTAGGCAATCATCATGAAATCAATCGACGATTGTATAATATTTGACTTCCCTTCCTCACCAGCCTGCATACTGCGGCATTCTATGGATGAATTGATAAGCCAGATCTTTTTAACCATGGTGTGTTGAGCAAATCGCAATGACCTTCTTTGCACATAATGCTGAGACATAACGGGTGGACTTGCACATCATATAAAATCAAAAGCAATCAAGCCATGTTATGTGGTAGTGTTGTGTGTGAGTAAGGGCCTTCCCTAAACTTGCCTCATCATTCAACCTGCCCTACTCGGGAGACAGGGCCGTTCTTTTTTGGCAAGTGTCATCAGCTGTGCCGATCTGGAGTACAGTAAGAAAGCCAAAGAGGCATTCTTGGTTGAACTTACGTATACTGGCTTACATTTGCTTGAAGAGATTCATTACGGTATGCAATTCTTTTTGCTCTAGAACACAACTACTATTGTGTATGTCAAGTGACATGAGATTCTTGTTGTGGATTATAAAGCATGAAGAATACAAAGAGAAGATATGCCAGCATAGATGATCTTCCTGCCATTTCTTTGGCAACAAACGTGGACAGCCACAAAGCTTTCTACCAAAGATGGTGGTGGGAAATGTTCACCACCTGCAGGATCCCACTTCAGTAGACAAAGCATACGGATTGCAGGATTCAGATGACTCTCCTCCATTGATATATGCATGCTGTTTTTGATGTGGCATGTTCCATAAAGCCTTACCTGCTCACAGGAGTTCCACAAGCCTCAGTGTATTTTGCAGATTGGAGTTAGGAATGTTTTTAAATAAAAAACGTACTGTTTTATATATAGCAAAAGAAAAAGAAAAATAACCGACAAGAAATTAAATATGAAAACAGAAAAAGATAAGTTGAGAAAATAAAACAGAAAAAAAGAAAAGCTCTGCATATGTACAATGGAACTGAGTCAGTTGGAGCCAGGCAGTATCCAGAGAGAACAAAACAAACAAACAAGTCATATTTTAAATAACAAATTAAACCTTGATGACATAGAATCAGGTTTTCCATAGTACTGGTTAGAAGCTCAATTCATATACAGAAGGGGTATAACATGTCTTCCATCCTGTTTTTGAGCTGCGTGTACTAGTCTTTCCACCAGAGTAAAACAATTTTCCTAATTCCTGACCACACACACTCAATTCTCCATTCTTTGATAGTTTCTAAATTTTCAGAATACCATTTAGCATCACATTCCCATCTTTGAGCCTTATTTTCTTTCTCAGCACCCTATTTTCAATCTTATGTATATTATATCAAAACAGCATCACTGTAAAACAAGTTCCAAATTATGTCCCTTCAGATTCTATTACACCTCCAACAGAGGCTGAAATCTAACCTTTGTTCTACATGCTCAAGAGCATCCAACAGACTAAAAATATTTAAGTATATTATTTAAATATTTATTCAGTATTTAATTGAATTACTCTCATTATTCCAAACTATCTGTAAGTCTCACATATCAATGGTAAATAAAAGCTTTCTCTAACAATATTAATAATGTACAAGCTTGAGAAGCAGTTAACACATCATATCCAAATAGTGAGATCAGAAGGTGTTTTAATTGAACATATTGCCCTTTAGCAGTTTAAGGCAATCCAATTTGTTTCTGAAAAACATTATTTAAAAAAACTGATTAACAATAAGTTGACCCGAAGTACTGACACCTTTTTTGCCCATTAGCTCCAGAAAAAGGATTTACCAGAAAATAATTGGATTGTCCAAAAAGACCATCTCTCATCTTCATATTAAAGTTCACATCAAGAAAAACTAGGCATCTAACAATTCCACATGTGCACGCACACACACATTCAGTAACCTATCCATCACAGGTATTAATGTAAGAATCCCTCCAAGAAGGTATTCAAAATAAGAACACCTTTCTTTATTGCTTACTGCTATACCTTTAATAGAAGGGAAACAAGATTGCACTCAAAGGGGAAGTGGGAAGGTAAAATACCGTATCAGACGCATTTTTTCCAGCACTTTGCTCCCAATAACTAACCAGAAGTACTCAGGAAACCTACAAGCAGCAGCATCTGTAGTTTATTCTACTTAATTTTGTCTTAAAGCTGTACAAAGGCTGCTGCAGAGACTGTAGGCAGAAGTGAAGGAAGCCAGTTTCTAGAAGGCGAGCAAGTTAACAGCGACTGCTGACAGACTGGCAGTGGAGAAAGGCTCCGTGCGTGCCCAGCTCACATCTCCTGATTGCCAGGGGAATGTCCCGAGGGCTGTGGGCTGGGCCGGTGCTTCTTGCTTAGCGAACAGAGACTGCTGTGGAGGATGGAGGAACATTAAGAGAGCCACTTTCCAGAGAGAACAGGGATTTGGCAGGCCACTCTTTGACTAATTTTCCTTCTAAGTCAGTAGTGGGCTGAACTGAGAACTTCAGATTGGGACAAGAAGAAATAAAAGCCGCCACATGCTACCTTAAGAACCTGAAGATGAATGGGCTCCATTCTATAATCATAACCTGCAGTCCTTGTGGTAGATTTGGGCTTGTGCCTCAAAACAAGCTGGCATGTATTTCTAGCAATGCAAACCTGCAGCAACATTTCAAATCAGAGTCTGGAATAGTGAGAAGATGAAGATTTATTAGATCAAAAGGAGGAGGTATGACAGCAGGAGATGAAGACAAAGAGAATCACCTTAAAAACTACCATGGTTGTGCAGTTCTCTGGATTAAATTCCAAAAAAATGCTTTGAAGCATGTTGTAGTATGAACAAAGCACCTGTCTACAACTCACAACTCTTTAAAGCAGCTTCCCGTCTTCCTGGAGTCACACTGCTGACTTTTAGGGGGAAAAAAACAGCTATAGAATTGGAGACATGTCCCATGTTTGTACCTCTCTGCTTCAAAGGAACTGTTTGGAATCTAACTGGAAATGCCACATCATCCTAAACAATGCATTTACATACTGCTCAGCAGAGATTTCTCAAGAAGCCTTCCCAGATTAATCTTATTTGATTTTTTGATCAGAAACTTTTTGATACTAGACTGTGGGATTACTGTGGATACAGTAAATCTTGACTTCAGCAATAAACATGACCTCCATCGCATGCTGACCAGCAAGCCAATTAGCATGGGGTAGATGGCATCGCTAGGCTTCGCTGTATTGGTTTGGTAGCACATTATTAGGCCTACAGTGTTGATTGTACCTGCTGTCTGTCTCTTTTAACTGTATCCACCTACATTCTTAAGCCTGTATCTTTTCTTGCAATGGCCTATTTCTTATAAGCTGTATACTTATTATGTAAACCTTGCAAAATTGCTTCTGTAAACTAAGAAAAGAGTACTTAAATGCACTCTTTATCTAAAATTGTACCAAGGTACTTACAGGGGAGGGAACCTATTTACTGCTTTCTGAGTGTGTTGCATGCGTGTGTACACATATACTGATCTGGAGGTTTCGCAGTGCCCAGGGGGGTTTATTAAGGCAGGAATACCTGGGCATGAACTCTGTAGCCTAGGAACAACAGCTCTAGGTGAAGCCTCGCATAAGCATAATTAACAAAAGGTACACCATGTGAAGTAGGGCTATCCGGGCTGTTGTTTCCTATCAGTATGGCTGGTTGGCAGTAATCTCTGAAAACCACCCCCGAACTAACAGCATGGCAAAAATATGGTTAAACAATGGGCTGGAAAAAAGTGCTCAGAGAGATGCTCATGAATGATTCCTCTGCACCGATGCCATAAAGTTCCAGTGGGGACTCTGCACTCATCAACACTTATATTAATGACTAGGTTGAGGTGATGAAAGAAAATCCATCACATCTGCAGATTATGTAAAATTGGGTGGGATAGCAAATACCCTAGAAGAAAGAAAAACCATCTTAATTGGCTGCCATAATAGGGGACAAGTGCAAAGGTCTTCACTTAGGAAACAGAAATTAAATGGAGAGTTACAGCATTAGAATATCTAGCTTGGTTTAGCAATAGTAGCTATAATAAAGATCTTGGATTAAGAATAAATAACAAAGTGAATGTGACTCAAGTTTGAATGTGGTTGCAAAAAAGGCGAATGTAGTTTCGGGCAGTGTTGACAGAAATACAGCTGATCCACTTTATTCTGCATTGGTCCAATCCCACGGAAGAATCTAGAGAAACTAAAATTCTGACGGAACATTAGAAAAAAAGGCCCTCGGAGCAGCACAACATAGGAACTGATTATCCGGACGCTGCCCACGTGGAGGCTGGACAGCCCTCTGTCCGGGATGCTTTAATTTTGATTCCTGAACCGAGGAAGGGGTTAGGCTTGATGGCCTAACTGGCCGCTTCAACTCTGAGGCTGTTTTTTCACCCTACTCCAAACACACCGCAAATTCTTTTACCTCAGCATGTCACACAAGCCTGAGCTTTAGACTACCAAGCACAACCCGTCCAGTCTCAGACTGCAAGACGCAGCCGTTTGGCAGAAACCGTGATGGCAGAACCGCCTGTCAACAGGCAAATGAAATCCGTTATATCGAAGGCATCGACTGTATCGTGACTTACAGTGCGTAATTTTACCAAGTGCACGACATGTTGTGCGCATGGCATCACCCCCCCCCAGGCTACATATAGTCAGTGGTACGTTATTCGTGCTGCTGGACAGACATATCTGGGCCAACCGAACATCTAGCAGATGCGTATGCAAAGATGCCAAGTTGAACTCGGCGTTTTAACCCTGCTGTTCGGGGTCTTCTTTAACAGTTTAATATGTCGTCAAATTCAGTCTGTTTGCTTAGGTTCCGGTGTATGTATGAGAGAAACAATAATTAAAAATATCGGGTGAACGCAGGCTATCGCTCTTCTGACTCAACTCAGGCAGCTTTCCGCAATTTCATCGGCTTGTTTACGCGGCTTTTACCTTCTCCTCGGAGGTCTTTCATTATATCCTTAACGCTCCGCTCTGCACACGACGCGATCCACACAACATCGCTCCGCGCCCGCCACGGAAACGCTGCGGGGTCCGGCCAAACGGCCTCGCCGCCCCTCGGCAGAGCTCGCAGCGGCGCAGCAGTCCGACAGCAAGGCGCGCAGCGCGCTCAAGCGGATCTAAAGGCGCCTGGAGCAGGCTTCAGGTTCGCCTCGGGCTCAGCGCACCGCGCAAATCTGGAAGAGCGGCTCCATTCAGCGCCACCGGCTCTCCGAAACGGTCCGTCGCCGCGCGCCGCGCGGGGCTCCCCCGTCTGCTCCTCGGCGCCCCAGCCACCGGAGGGAGGACCTCAGTCTGCCCCGGGGGACCGCGAGCAGCTCGGAAGCG